GGATTTGATTTAGTTTGGTCATATCAAAAGTGAATTTGAGTTTAGGATTGGAATTGGGGTCAATTGAGATCAAATTGGTGGACATTTGAGTTGGGCTTGGGGAAATTTGAGTCTTTAAAGGACAATTTAGGGATTTTGGTTAAATATGGTCAAATTGGACAAATTGGGTCATGTTCTAGTTGAGAGAAACGGAATTAAGAATATTTGGGATTTATTGGAATTTTTTGGGAATTTTTGGAATTTTTGGGATTTTTAGCTATGGAGGGGTATGTTGGTAATTTAGAGGTGTTTTAGGGGTAAAAGGCCAAGATGGGTATTTTGGTAGATTTGAGGTACCAAACATCACCAATAAGCTATGGACCAATGAAAACCCCATTTTGGGTCATCTACATAGTGGTCTTAGCTAAACCATAGCCCTAGGGCTAGTAGGTTTAGGGGACCATCTACATGAGTGTCCCAAACAATCAAGGGATCTAGGCTAGAAATTTGAATTCAGGGTTGTGAGTGATTGTAAGTACAAATAAGTGTAGTGAGTGCCTTAGCTCCAGACCAACACCCAAGGTCAACCCTAAGGTCCAGCAATCCTAAGGGTGACTCATCTTGAGTTTCCCCCACAGTGACCCCACCTACTAAGTACATAGAGGTTGGGAGTTCAAGCTGAGTAGAGAAAAGTTTGGAATTTCTAGTGGTGAGGGTTCCAAGTCTAGTTTTCTAGGAATAGTCAACAGGAAAAGTCTTATGGCTAGACCTTAGACTACTAAAGAGGAAAAACTAAACCTCAACAAAAAATGAGGTCAACAAGTCTTTAATGATATAACTAAAAGAATGAAGGGGTTGTAGAATTAAAAAAAGAGTGAAACAATGAAGCCATTCTTTCATTGGTGAGATGAAAGAGATCAAGGCAAAGATCATATTACTACGAGTAATCATGAAAGGCTGTAAAGAAGGAGATAAGACAACATTGAGAAGCATGAAAAAGGGAGTTTGGTATAATCTTTAATTAATATCATGTAGAAAGGAAATAAATTAAATCAATTATATTTTTATTCAATTGTCATGCTACTATAAGTAAAAATATGAAAAAAATGCAATAAGAAGAATATCTACTGTAATGTGAATATATTATAATAATCAATATTTCAAACTCCTACTATCAACAATTAGCACATGTAATAGTTTAGATATGACAATGGTTACTAATAAATAAAAATATCTACGGGTTGAGCATATCTTGTGTTTTATTGGACAATTTGGGTGAGTGCCACTGAAGTTTCTGTTGTGAGATATGTACTTCCTGGCATAAAAATGAAACGCAAAGAACACAAGCAAACACAGATCGTTTACGTGGTTCGATCCAACTGGATCTACGTCCACAGGAGGGAATCAATCAAATATTTCACTAAGGCAAAAGAAATGGAGAATACATAGCTTATACATAGAGATGAGCCCTCATCTTTCTTCTATGGCCTCCCTCTCAAGCGACACCTTGATACAAGGCCTCAAGATGCTCTCCTCCTCTCTAGCTCTCTAGCTATTCTCTCCTCCTTTGTGATTGCTTAAGACCTCTTCCCTTTAACTCCTAAGCCTCACACCCTCTCTATTTATAGAAGCAAGAGAGTGGTAGGTGGGAGGTAGGTGAACAGTAGGTGAGCGGTAGGTAAGATGTGATAGGTGAGCGGTACCACATTACAAAAGTGTCCTTTTACCTTAGTTCATTAATTGAGGGTCAAAATAACAATTCTTCACCTTGACCCTCAATTGAGAAGATTCGAAGTAAAGATTCCCTCCACCTGGCCCCTGAGGGGCCCTCAGCCCTTGCTTGAGTTTGCTAAGTCCAAACAGTACATGGACTTAGCAATCATGGTTCTTCCGATAAGAGAGTACAACCCCTTTTTCCTGACTCCTTGTATGACGACACGAGA